TGTCCTGTGCCAGAACGATGTAGCCTACAAGTTAGGAGGAACAAAAGCAAAAAAAGCGCTTTTACTTAAGTCAGTTGGAGAGAATAACAAAACAAATTGTTTCAAGTATGCTTATTTAGTGCACAATTTACTATATAATAGCTAAGGCAAATTCTCTCCTCTTCAAATTCCTTCTGAGAAATCCACTGAAGCATCATATTACTGTCTGGCCCTCTGTGTGGCATAACCAGCAGTAGTTTTAAAGCAGTGGCTGTCACAGGTGAAAGGTGTGTATTTGAGAGGTCTCTGTTCACAAGGATTAAGATAATGCCCAACTGACATTTGAGATTCGATTAGAGGTGTTGAGATCTGTCAATTTAAGAGCTGGTGATCTTTTCAGTAGAAGAGACATGCTCAGTCGTGAAGAGGGTGTCTAATGAAGTACCATATAGGAAGTATGTTATCAAAATAATTACTTTTCGTAAAAGCTGAACATCAGCTAACAAAATAGGTGTTTTTAAAACAAGTATCTTGGCAGATACAAGTGATACTATCTGTAAAAAAGGTACTCCTCTTCTCCCAAGTAACAAGTGATAGGACAAGAGGAAATGGCCTCAAGTTGTGCCAGCAGACATTTAGACTGGATATGAGGAAAACTTTCTTCATTGGGATGGTTGTCAAGCACCGGAATAGGCTGCCCAGGGCAGTGGTGAAGTCATCCTCCCTGGAGGTATTTAGAAGATGAGTAAATGTGGTGTCTAGGAGTGGTGGACTTGGCAGTGCTAGGTTAATGGCTGGACTTGATGATCTTGAGGGTCTTTTCCAACCTAAACAATTCTACAAGTCTATGATTTGGTGATTGACCAGATAATAAGAGGAGTATATTTGTTATATTTATTAAAAAAAAATGAAGAAAACTGAAGTGGTTTGACACCATATTATAACATCCACTGAGTACTCTGGAAGTTTTATCAAAGCTGAGTGAGGCTGCTGTTCTCTGTCTTTGTACCTGTGTTCAGGCACACTGAATTGGTCTTGATATTTGCCACTGGCATTGGTTCTCTTGGTCAGAGATTCATCATCCCTGGGACAGCTTTTCATCCTCTGGCTGAAAGCCCATCTTTTTCCTTACAACAGGCATGTCTCACATGATAATAATAGATATTATAACGCATCCTGCCTCTCCATGTAATGTTGATGCATCCTTCTCATCTTCATAACTTGTTTGTTACCAAGAGTATCTTATCTGTGTATGCAAGGGAAAGTATGAACTGGGTTACCGATTGTCCTTGCAGGTAGGCCCTATAGAAAGAAAAATATGACTTAATGAAATTTAAGGTACATCAAGAGATCTCTCCAAGCAGACAGTGTTTGTTTAAATAATAGCATCTTACGGGACTTGTCTTGATGTGGACATATTGGTGAGACCAGACCTCTACCGTTTTCAGCAGGTTTTGAGAAACATTACAGTAACATGGTGACAACTTCTATTTATTTTACCTGCTGCTCTGGGACAAGAAAAATCATGTGCATGTTTGACATGTTGGTAATGAATTTCTTTTGTACCAGGGAAATGCTGCAGAATGTCTTATGAAAACATCCTAATTAAGGAGTGGATTTGAGTAGACATACAATCTCTAAAATATCGGAAGTTCCACTCAATTTAATGTACATCCAGCAGCTCCCAAGAGAGTGTTTCAAAATCACTAAGCTTCTGTTTAGCAGAATGGGGATGAGTACAGGGGCTCTGAAGGGCTGTAAATGAAGCATTACTTAACTCTGAGGGAATTGTCTGACTCCTGAATGTTTTAAAGCAAGCTTCTTTCTTGGTAGCTTTTTTAAGCAAGTGTAAAGCAGATGTTCATATTGTGCAGAGCCATCCATGGGTCTGTTCAAATAGTCAAACACCTTTTCAAGATCTGTCAGGAAGTGCTCCATGAATCTGATCCATGCGATGCAGGTGTTGAAACTACCCAGAAGTTGTTGTCTTATTGAAGTAAAGATTTCAGTGTGTTTTCATTTGAACATTCATTTCTCTTTACACTCAGGATTCCCTGAAAAAGTAAGGTAAAACTAAAGAATATCTCCTTAGAGAGAGAAGTTATTTAAAAATTCATGTGCTCTAAAAGCAATCATATTACCTTAACTGTGTCACATTTAACAATTTTAAAAGAAAATAAAATTTCCTTTTAAAATACAGTCCTTGACATCATCAAATAGTCAAGTTGGAGCCAACAGGAAGCTTCTTACTACATACAACCGTTCCTTAGGAATCAAATGTTTATGGCCATTTGCCTACAGCTTCATGGATCTCAGTATTTTAGAGACATTCACTGTTGGCAGTGTATCTGCATAAAATGTCCCTGAAGTCTATGGGACATTGTGATGGGCATGTCAAAATGAATCAGATTTTAAAACAGTGGTTTAAAATGGGAAGATGCTACAGGCTGGTCTTTGACTGCCTGATCTCTGCCTGCTGCATGCTAAAGAGCTTCTCTGAAGCCAGGAGTCTTGGCTCAGTGGTATTGTAAGATATTGAGCTTTTTTTTCCTGTTGCCTCATAAAAATTCTGACATTCCAAGTAGTCTGCACAGGGGGGATTATCTTTTTTTGTTTATCTTTTTATGATGTTCAGGGTACATATCCAGGCACAGATTTAGCAGGAAAAAAGAATGGGATCTTTAGCTTCCCTCTTTTCCCCAGTAGCAACAGCCTTTTGGCAAAGACAAGTAAACTACCAGAGGGTAGTTTCATCCTGTTAGCTTGTGGATTAAGGCTGGGAATGTGTTAGCTCCCCTGATGCACGATGGGGCTATGTAACTCACAGTTCCCTATCCATCAGGTCACAGCTCTGTCCACTGTGATGCTTTCTCCTTCATTATAGAAAAGAAGCAATCACACGGTAGGTGTTTTGATTGTATCTGGGCCAGCACTATGTTTTACCTCCTTTAGAAACCTTTCTTTTAACACAATATATTTCTATGTCCTTAAAGATATCCTTTCTGGAAGTGTCACTTCTTGAATTGCTTTTCGGTAACAAGATTGATTTACAAATCTCTTGTAAAGACACACACACCCAACAAACCCTGCACAAAACAAAGCTGTGTGTCGGGAGCTCTTTTGTAGCATTCAAGCTGCAAGAGAGAGCAGTATCCTGCTTCGCTGGTCGGGTGAGAAGCATGGTGGAGTGACAGCTTTAGCAGAACTCCCATTTGGCGGAAGACAAGCTGCAAGCTTTTTGCACCTTCTGTTAAACCTGCTGAGAGGGCATGAGAGCCTTTCTTCTTTAAAGCAAGCTTGGGGAGAATTCAGCATAACAGAGATTGTCTGAGTAAAAGGTTTTCTAAGCAATTAAACTGCTTTTTGTACTTTTCAGTGAACCCTTTGCACGACCTTTTTCTACACAAGCTTTTTTGCTGCAGATTGGGCTGTATTAGTGAGTTCTCCATCAGGAGCTGCTGTGACTGATGTTTGGGCCAGAGCCACTCACAGCCCTGCTCCCGACCCCCACCCAGACTCTAAGCCTGGCCCCTGAACTGTCCCTTTTTTAATCAGTTTAAGGGTGTTAACTTCCATATATCTTGCTCAGCCAGCCTGTAGCAGACCCCTGCTGTAATGTCACCTGTCCCTACCCTCCCTTCAATCCTGACCCGTAAATAAGCTCTCATTCAGCTCATCATCCATCCTTAGGCAAAGCTCCATGCACTCCAGCTGGTCATTGACAGAATGAGCGATACCCCCTCCTTGTCTCCCCTGCCTATCCACCATAAAAAGTATGTACCCTTCCATTGCAGCACTCCAGTCATAGGAGCCATCCCACCATGTCTCAGGTGATCCCTGTAAGATCATAGCCCTGCATGCATGCAGATGTCTCTAACTCCTCTTGCTTATTCCCCATGATCTGTGTGTTTGCATAGAGGCATTTAATTTGGGCCCACAGTGAAGCTGACTTACTGGCTGGAGTAGCTGCAATTCCTTTGTGCTGCTCTTTAGGTGCTCTCCTACTGTCCTGCAATCCCCCTCCAGGCTCTGGGCATCTCTTGCTGGCATTGGTATCAGACTGGTAGGGGTGGGATGGATTGGGGTTCCCCTCCCCTGGAAAGATGACAGGCTGTATAAGGTAATTTGGCTGTATAAGTAGGCTTAAAGCACCAGGTGATCACTTGCTTAATTTTGACGTTAAAGCAAGGGGAAGATTTCTGGTTTTGCCCACCATTCCTCCTTTCCGCTGTCTTCCACACTTCTACTTGGGTGATTTTCAGGGGCAAAGGAACAGGTTTCTATTTCACTTTTGGCAAACTTTGGAGCCCAATTCCTGGTCCACTGCTGTAGTGCATCCCTAGGTTTGGGAGATCTGCAAAAACTTAAAACCTGAACCAATATAGTCCAGTGGGCCATCATTTTTGCCACAGCCAATTCATTTTTCTTTGGTGATGCTTCTGTTGACTTTACTGAATACCAGGTACAGTCTTTAGCAACATATATTAATATTAACACCACCTTCTCAGTTCAAGGCCATCTCTGTGCAAGACCGTGTGCAGGATGAGTGCCTAATGACCTGGTACTTGAGCCATGAAACTTCAGCCTGGCAATTTTTTGATTCTGCATCCATTGTGACCTTCATATATGTTTGAGGTTTTGTTTTAAAATCCTTCGGTTTGACATTAGCTGCTGTTGTAGTATTTTTTATCAATGGGCTTTTATTTCTTTTTCATTGCCTGATGGAAGAGACATTTGGGCTTACTTTTTCTAAGTACTAAAAAAGAAATAGCTTTCCCCTCAAGCTCAGTAGCTGGGGGGTTCATGCATTTGTTCTCTGTTAGCACTGGTACATGTTAGCATTCTCATTTTGTATAGCACAAATAAGCTTCAAGTTAACTGTCTGGAGTGAGTTAGCCATATAAGACTGTTTTGCCCCCAAAGCTTAAGGTTCTCATGGTTTCCATCCTGAGATACACACTTTCTGTTCATCTTTGAGCTTAGCTAAGCTAATACTTAATACAGTGTTCTTTTAATTCCAGTCCTACATGGAAGATCATCTGAAAAACAAGAATCGTCTGGAGAAAGAGTGGGAAGCTCTGTGTGCTTATCAGGCTGAACCAAATGCCACCACTGTTGCAGAGCAGGAGGAAAATATCCAGAAGAATCGCTCACGGGCTGTAGTACCATGTATGTACACTTTAATTCAGATGATTGCATTTGAAGTTCTTGAAACTTTTCTCAGTACCCTTTGCAGAGTGGTTTGAAAGCTACAGATGACAGGTGAATATAATACACAATATATGTGTACTAGAAAACTGTGGCTACAGCTATGGGCTGATTTCATAACCTGTTGTCATATCAGACACTGTTTACCTCCCTGTAAATTGCATATATGTTACAAAAATACACAACTATGTCACATAGCACTGCTGCTGCAGCTGTGCCATCCCATAAAATTCAATAGGCAGTGCTTTTCAGTGCTGGAATATACTTTGTGTACAAGGGTGGCATCTGTAGCCATTCAACAGAAAGAAGTTTGGTTTGTGTTTAGACAAGTTGGTATCATGTCCATCCAACACTAATACCAGCAATCTATAATCATGGCTAGATGATCTGTTTATCAGATACTCAGCTGTACTGAATGAGCCCCTTTAGGCTTCAGTGGATAAGCTTGCAAACTGGTTTCTCAATCTCTGCTAGGCTTAGGATAAAAAAAGAGAAAAAACAAACCAACCAAACAAAAAGAGCAGCCAGTGTTTATATGACTAGAATCTGCTCTTTCCTGTGAGCAGACACCTTTCTCATCTTGAAATAAAGCAATGCTTTCACACACTTTATTAAGCAACCAATGAAACAAAACTGAAACTGAGATAATATGCACAGTCCACAGCAACAAAAATACCCTTAACCAGTGTGCCCACAATCCAGCTGGGTAGCTTAGCAAACATAGAAAGCTATTTTAATTTTTAAAGTGCCCTGAAAACATTTATTTCCCCTATGAGAGCATTGAGTAAGTACCCTTTCTCCTTTAGAAATGGGAAAATGACAGGTAACACATTAAGTAAATGTCAGAGCTGGATTTAGATTGAAGATTCTTTGGAAGTACATGGTAATTTAACTGAGCCCATCAGTTCTTGCATTATAGTTCAGCAGGGTTTGGCTCTCTTTTTGGCTCTTTTTGCAATACTTTGCTGTTTAAGAGAGGATTACAGTAGTTTGGTGATATGTATTCATTCTCCTGAATAAATACAGTGCCGGTCAAAAGCCTTCTGGGGCAACAGCAACACTTTACTGACTTCCATATGTTTTCTGTGGAAAAGTCCCAAAGAAGTCATGAAAGTTGAAGGAGTGCAAGACTTTCTGTGCTCTTCTCCATCCCGAAAAACTGGCATTTAACTGACATGATAGGGTGTGAAAATGGCTCCATGATAATATGAACTGATCCAAGTTAATCTTCCTGCTTAAAGTGTTCTTTTCAGTGTGGACTTTACAGTCTGACCATCTTAAGCTATTCCAAATCTTTGCTCATAAAAGAGTTTCTGATTGCTGCCTTGGAGAAATCATGAAAGCTACAGGTGTTGCCAGAAATAGATGGTGGTTATTCAGCTGATGCAGGAGACATGTCTGCATGACTCAACAAGCAATAAGACAGGGATCCTCACACCATTCTAGCTCTGAATCCAGAAGTGTCATAGCTGATGCAGTGCTAAAGAGCAGATTTTTATCTTGGGTGTCATGCCACACTAGAGACCTGAACTATTCTCAGAGATAAGATAGGCAGTCTCTTTTCATCAAATTGTACCATGTGGATGAATCAGCCTACGTTGATCAGTCTTCAGTTGACAAGTCTCTGCCTTTGCTTCTTCCATGGCATATTGTTATGCCTGTTCTTCCGATCGTTGAGTCTAGACTGAATCAGTACTACCTGGGAAAGTATTTGGAAATGGGCAGGGTGACTGCAATTTATCTAATTTAATTAGAAGTATTTTAGTATGTTTAAAATCCCTTAGTGATTTCACAAGGGTAAAATGCTGGGTTTTGGCTTTGTTAGACTGTAGAAGCTTATGTTATAGCTATTAGTGAGCTGTGAATTTTTCTTTTTGACTGAATTGCACAAAATTACCTACCCTCACTTTCTGAATTTGCTGCATACTGGTAAACAACTGTTATATCCTTAAAACTACTTTGATGATGGCTAGAGTGTGTGGCATAGAATTTAAAAGATACTAAATTTTGACAAAGTGATGGTTATCGTAGATTCTAAGATTAGATAGAGATGAGAAAGAGCCCAGTTTGACCACTTTTTTTTTTACCATTCTTGACATGAAAACTATAGCAAAAAGTCACAGATTTGCTTCATAATAAATTAAAAAGCAAAGCTGATATGTTTTTGATATGCTACAGAGTTGTTATGCTACATTCAAAGTACTCCTAAAGAGTAACATCTTGCTGGCATTTCGTTGGCCCTTTCATATTGATAATCACTGTGACAAGGTAGAACAAGACTGCCAATTCACTTGAAAGATTTCATTTTAGGAAAGCTTTAAAGAAACTTTAATATCATGTTGTATTTACTTTGCATTTTTCTTTGTTAACCAATCTTAAAATAATATGATATTATTTTTTACTGATTACCTAACTGATGTATTTTCTAGATTAACATTATCTTTAATCTCACAATTTTATCACAGTTTACTCTTATTCCTATCTTCTGTACTTGCAAGCAGCTTTTAAAATACTTGACACTGCACTGAATTAATTACTAGTTAAAAAAATTCTAACAATTGAAGTAACTCTGACCTTCTAGATTAACAAAACTGCATCCTTTTATCCAACCAACAAGCAGATTGCCATAATTTAGGCCAATAGGATACCTTTTTTTCAGTATGAACACACAAGCAGCTCCGTATGTTGATATCCAAAAAAAAAATCTTTCCAGGTTTTATCTTCTCTTCTTGTACCTTTGCAAAATAAATCTCGGTAGTGTCAGTACTGTATGTTCTAATTTATGTATACCATAAACATATGCAGGTATTTTAAACATTTGACAAGCAACCTTTTCAGTAAACATCTGTCAAAAGCTGTCTTCTGTAGTAGTGCCCATGGGTCATGGTATGTATTAGAGCAGGCTGCTTACTGCTGTGCTTTGGTTTTCCTCCAAAGGAAAGCAAAGTGTCTGGGGGCAGAGTGTGTGCCCAGGTGTGAAGCTTGTGTGCAGTTAGAGCACAGCCAGGGAATGTGCGCCAGGAATGGGAACACCTGAGCAGAGGGTACTTGCTCTCGGTGTGTGCACTATCCGTTTCAGTAATGCATGTGAAAATAATGCTGTGGAATCAACAAACTTGATTTCAATTCAGATCTAAGAAGAGTTACGTTTTGCAAATAACCTATGGGCAAAATAATTATAATTAACAAGTTATGATTCTTTACAGTCTTCAGCCTGCTCCACTTTTTCTCCTCAGTAGTTCTTGAATTTCCTACTTCAGTGTAGTTCTGGACAGTGCTTTGTATGAAAAAGAAAAAAAAAGAAGGTATCAAAAAAGTGTCAGTCTAGATCTACCTGTTTGGCTAGTTCAGGTCAGGTGAACTGTCCCTGCTTCCTACCAGCTTCCTGTGCCCCTCCTCCCTGGCAGAACATGAGAGGCTGAAAAGTCCTTGATCGGGATAAGCGCTACTTAGCAACAGCTAGAAACATTGGTGTGCTATAAGCACTGTTCTCAGACTAAAGCCAAAACAGAGCACTTCAGTAGCTACTAGGAAGAAAATTAACTCTCCCACCTGAAACCAGGACATTGCTTTACACTGAAATTAATAGCTCTAGGATGCCTTCGTCTATCCTGTGTGAGCTTCAGATGCTGATCCAATCGGGTACAAGTCTTTAGGTCTTGTGTCATACCTGTTATCCTTGTGCAATGTCTCATCTACTCTCCAGCTTTTCAAACAGTATGACATGTTTGTATTTAGCCAACTAATCAAGCTCCATTAACTTTAACCTAGTCCATGTGGAGATATCTGTACATGGACAACAAGACTTAGCTTTCTCAGTCTATAAATTGAGTATATATATACTGCAAAGTCATGTGTGTTTGCTTTATATTTTGTCTGTTATTGTGTATCCTTTATACTTCATAATTTATATTTTATATCAATATCCACCCATATGTTTTGCTTTTCTTTTAGCTGTGACTTGGCTGGAGCGATAGCAAATGCAAAGTAGTTCAGCATTTAGCAGTAGCTGTTGTAGATATTTGAAATGATGACTAGTTGTAGCTTGGCCAGATCGCAGTAGCTAGTAACAGCATTTGTCTTTTCTCTCACTTCCTTATTATTGTCCCGCTCCCTATTCATCTTTCTTGTTTTTTAGACCAGTCATATATCTTCCTTTTCTATCATCCCCTTCCTTTTATTTCCTGCTTTTCCTGCTTCACTTTTTTTTGCTTCTGACATAATCAATATGCAGTTTACAAAAAAAAAATCTTGTACATTCAGCATTTTCCCCACAGTTGCTTATTGTTAACATAACAAACTGATGTCCATGGTATCTTTTTTTATTCTTTCTTCTTTTTCTGACTGTTTCTGAAGAGTTATTATGCTAGTTCCTAGAAGCTTTGAGGTGATAACAGGCATAGACAAGCACAATCTGTTCATTGTCAATATGAACGCTTGATGATGCAACTAAAGCACACATGGGTGCAAACTTGATACAGGCAGAAAACACATGTACAACCTTTTTTACGCACTTTTTATTTTTTCCTGAGCACAAAGACTCACCACATTTTCACTGTTGAAGACTTAAGATGTCTCACCCTCTGATTAACCCTCCATTGGATAATGATACAGCATGCTGAATCAGTGGCTCTGGACAAAACACTCTTTAAAAAAAAAAAAAGATCCTGAAGTTACTGATCTGACTCTTGATTTTTATTGGACAGTCACACTGACATCTGTATGCTGAATCCTGATGAATCATTGTCTGCTCTCTCTCCCTCATCCCTTTGAGAGCATTTAATACATTTTCTTTGGTGATTAGTTCAAACACTTTTGCTGTCCAATGAATGGGGCTTATCCTGAGCACTTACTTAGCTTAAGATGTATGAGAGACCACTTTCAGTGCATGTAACTTGCCTATCTTCTGCATAGCCAAAAGGTTTCAGAGCTGTAGTTCTTCAAGCACTTTGTGACAATGCTCATGATAAATCTTCCTATAAAAAATCTTGGCTAGCTCCAGGATCTCAGATGACATAAATGCATTTCTACATTTTGGATTCTTTGTGCAGTGGTGCCAAAATAAGGTGGAAATGAACAATGTGTATAGAAGTGTCCCCTTTCTCATCTTCTTCTTCCTCCTGTTGTGTTGAAACCTAATCAGAGGAAATATTTTATGTGAATAGTAAAGAAAGGCTCTTCATTCATTTGACATGACTCGTTCACCTCTAATCATACTCCAGGAGGAAGCTGCTCATGTTGGTGGGTTGCATATTGTTGATGAGGTTGAGTGACTGTAATCAACGTTTGTACAAGCACGCCTTTGTCTTGCTCACATATTGAACTGACATGACATTACTGGTGAATAAACCTAAGCAGAGCCCAAACCTTCTGCCTCTACTTTCCTGTGTGGTACTTATAACACTTGATAACTCATTTATTGTTCCTCATTATTAAAATGATTGGTACTTAACAATTTAAAAAAACAACTTGTAATTCTGCTGTTAAGAATGGTGTCACAGGCCACAAGACAAGATACCAAGGAGGGCAGGGTGTATTCCTGTACTTTTATTTTATCTATTTGAATAATTGGTGGAAAGATCCTTTCAAAACATCAATATCCATGTTCAGCTTCAGAGGGTTACAGAAAGGGCAGCTCCAAAACTTCTCACCACAATATACGCTGCAGGGTGGGTTTGCTGAGAAGTATAAATCATGTTGGTTATGTATCATGTATAAGTTGTTTGAGATTCATATCTAAAGACTTAGACATCTCTCACATAAATTATCTGCATGTGGTCTGGTATTTCTTTCTTTAGTCAGTGGAAAGAAACGGGCACTTCTCAAGTGCAATTTGGTCTGTTTGAGAAAGCTAAATCGGGAAGAGATGATTCATGACATAGAAATATTTCTTTTCTCTTAGCAGAGTGAGTCTAGATGACTGGAAGCGATGCAGACATCTGCATTGTCACTGCCTAAATACGAACAAATAGAAATCATCCATTACATATGTCCTGAAGTTAAAAAAAGGACTGGAGCTGGGGTGTACCAACTCTAAACATAGTTGAGCTAGCGCCAGTAAAAACACAAGTTAAAAAGTACTAAAAGAATCAAGACAAGGGGCAAACATGAGTAAGTGTCCTATGTCCAGAGCTTCTATTTACTTTACTGGTGGTGTCTGAACTAGCTACATTTCCAGCAGTGTAAGATACCTCTACATGCTCCAGCCATACTTTTAGGTGCAGTTATCAGCATTTTCTCTCTTCCATGATCATCTCCCAGTCATATTGTCTCCCCACATCACTAGCATAGTACCACACAGCACTGGTCTTTGATCAGGACAGATTAACTTACTGTCCAGCTCTCAACTGTACATTGATGTTCCTGCTGTTCATTTTACAGAGAAGCCAGGCAGATAAAGTCCATCAGCTTACTACTTCCATAACCCTGAAAATGCAAGTGTTTTCTATAATACTAGTTCTTTTCTAGTTATCTCTCTAGTTTAAAGCTTAAACTTCTTGAGCAATAGAGTCCCCTTTTTCCTATGAGATGTTGTAGTAGTGCATGATGCTACATCTCATGAAGACATCCTTTCTGATACTGTCTCTAAAATATCTTTGGGTTTCATGTAAAGCATTCGACACTGTTCCACACAACATTCTTGTCTCTAAATTGGAGAGACATCAATTTGATGAATGGACCACTCAGTGGATAAAGAACTGGCTGGATGGCCGCACACAAAAGGTTGTGGTCAATGGCTCAATGTCTGGCTGGAGACCAGTAACGAGTGGTGTCTCTCAGGGATCGGTGCTGGGACCAGTCTTGTTTAACGTCTTTGTCGCTGACATGGACAGTGGGATTGAGTGTGCCCTCAGCAAGTTTGCCAATGACACCAAGCTGTGTGGTTCGGTTGATACGCCGGAGGGAAGGAATGACATCCAGAGGGACCTTGACACGCTTGTGAGGTGGGCTGATGCCAACCTCATGAAGTTTAACCATGCCAAGTGCAAGGTTCTACACCTGGGTCAGAGCAATCTCAGACACATCTACAGGTTGAGCAGAGAGGAGATTCGGAGCAGCCCTGTGGAGAAGGACTTGGGGGTGCTGGTCGATGAGAAAATGAACATCAGCTGGCTTCAGTGTGCGCTTGCAGCCCAGAAAGCCAACCGTATCCTGGGCTGCATCAAAAGGAGGCTGACCAGCAGGTAGAAGGAGGTGATCCTGCCCCTCTCCTCTGCTCTTGTGAGACCTCACCTGGAGTATTGTGCGCAGTTGTGGTGTCCTCGACATAAAAAGGACATGGATCTGTTGGAACAAGTCCAGAGGAGGGCCATGAGGATGATCAGGGGGCTGGAGCACCTCCCATATGAAGATAGGCTGAGAAAGTTGGGGCTGTTCATCCTGGAGAAGAGAAGGCTGCGTGGAGACCTCATAGCAGCCTTCCAGTATCTGAAGGGGGCCTACAAGGATGTCAGAGTGGGACTCTTCATTGGGGACTGTAGTGAGAGGACAAGGGGTAATGGGTGAAAACTTAAACAGGGAAAGTTTAGACTGGATATAAGGAGGAAATTCTTTCCTGTTAGGGTGGTGAGGCACTGGAATGGGTTGCCCAGGGACGTTGTGAATGCTCCATCCCTAGCGGTGTTCAAGACCAGGTTGGATGAAGCCCTGGGTGGGATGGTTTAGTGTGAGGTGTCCCTGCCCATGGCAGGGTGGTTGGAACTAGATGATCTTAAAGTCCTTTACAACCCTAACTATTCTATGATTCTATGATTGTATGATTCCTGAGTCAGGCTGTGATGCCATGACTGTATCAGGGCTATGTGAGATTGGGAGCCAGAATATCCTTTCTGATATTTACCATTTGCCTATCTTGAAATGCACATTAGTCTGACTTTGAATTGTTTAACTTCAAATGTGTATAAAAATACTTGTATAAAAACTTTTTTCTCTTATTTTTTCCTTTGCAGATGATCATTCCAGGATATGTCTGAAAGGCGAAAGTAGCCACGACAATTCAGACTACATCAATGCTAGCCCAATTGTAAGTATGGTAACCTATGTGAAATAATTCAAACAGCCAGTTGCTATCTTTCCTTTTTAAAATATGCTAACTTGAGGCACCTAACTGCTCAGGTTGTGCAACCTCAGGTTTTGAGCATCTCACAACTCTGATGTCTTGGGCTGTCCTTTCAAACTGAAGAGAAATAAATCTTCTACATATGCACGCATTACCCTCAAATTTTATGTACAAAGAAAACAGTCACTAGATAGTCATAGTCCTACCTTCTAATACTGTCAGGTTTTCTGTACTTTGCATTATTAATCTATGGATTATAAAATTCAACAGTATACCCCTAGTGCAGCTTTTCCGTTTCTGAGGACATAAAACTTTCTTCTTTTTTGCTAGCTCCAGTTATAGAAAGAGTGGTTTCTGTAGGCATGGAGAGTTGTGCTCCACTGGCTTCTGAACTTTTTCTGCATCAGGAAATGACATTTCCTCTTACCTTTCTTCCTCTGTTGCCCTTCAGATGCATAACTTGGTGTTTCTGTAGCTTTCCCAGTTCTTCTCTGAGCTTGCTGTTTTGAAAGAGAGAATGATATCCTTTACCAATTGTGTATTCATTCAAACTTCAAAATATGTCAATCCACTTTTTGCATCTGGATACTCCAGTATGGACCAACTGCCCTTTCTCACCCTATGCAAGCTGAAGATGAATCCTTTTTTGTCTGTGAAAGATGACAGGGAGAAAAGATCTCTATTTTTAGATGCAAAACATGCATGATAGAGCCAGTAGCATTGGCCTGTTATAGAATCTCAATGAAAGTGTCATGATATCCATTTGAAGGGGGGAAAAAGGCACTGTGCCTTAAACCTCTGTAAGGCTGCTTGTATTGGAGTCACTTTTGCTCATGGTTCTTATTCACATTAATTAGGCACTAAAAAGTTATTACAGGGAAACTAAGAAAGAACTTAGAATGGGGACTTAGATCTCTCTGCAGTGGGCTTTGTATGCCATTACTGGCTCATTTTCCTGGGGAATATCACTCCCCCAGTTAAATCACTTGTGTGGGTAAGGCAGCTGGCAATTTGCAACAGCATGAAATTACAGCTTGTTTCCTTCCAACGTTGTTGACAATACTTCTTTAAAAAAAAAAAAAACACAAAAACAAAAAAACAACCAAAACAGAACTCTCTAGAAACTGTTCTCTGAGCTTTGTCTATTAATTTCAGCAGTGTTCAAAAGCTTCATTTCCTTGAACATACGAAAATGTTTTATTCAAAGGAGTTAAAAAATACACAGAACCCAAAAAACATCTTTGGGATGCTTTTGTCTTTGACTTAGGGTAGAGGGGAAACCAAAGCACCAGCATGCTTCAGGGATTGCCAGCTGCTGTTTTAGAGCACAGGGGTAGATGTGCACAGGTTAGAGCAAGTTTTGGACTACTTTTAAGTATGTCTCTTAGTAGACCGAACTCTAGTTGGGTCTCTGAGGATATATATCCTGCTTATAAAGTCATGCACCAAAGTCCAGCACCAGTGCTTCAGTGCTCTGTGTCTGCCAGTCTTCAAGGCATATTTGGTGAGTTATGTTTGGTCAGTAGATGCTCTGAGGTTTTGTGGCAAACACAGGAGTAGGAGGTGTTAAACGGAAGTGAGATACTGTATTCTTGTAAGAGCTTGGTTGTAATTTGCATGACTACAATATGATGCAGAAGTGGAATTGCAGCATTTGAAGATGGTGCTAAGCCAGGTGGAGTCTTGGCAGCAGTACATATACCGTGTTTTTGCCAAATAGCCAACATAGGCTTCTGCAACCTGCCCCAAAGTCTGCGGAGACTGTTTCTAGTGCACAAATTTAGTTGAAGAAGGGGAAAATATTTGCATGTCTGTATATGGCTGTTGCAATTATAATTCTGGATTATAGTGTATCTATCTGTTCCTGTAATTAAACTGAAAAGTACTAGATTAAGTAGTGTTGGGGGTGGAGAGGCAGGACCAAGATATCCCGTTAACATAACTGTGAAGAGATTTGCTTTGTCAGGATGTCTGGAGCTAATTCAGGCAGAGGGACTCTGCTTCCACAGCTTTAACTCTCATGGTCTTACAGGGGGTTGTAATTTTGCCTTTCCATCCAGCATTTAATAAGGGTATTTCCTTCTGCAAAGTTTAAAAGCATTTAATTTGTGTAGCTTTCCCAGCTTCAGGAGTTTCATTCAATAAACTGAGTCACACTGATAAAGCAAAATTTCTGATGGTTGTCTTTGTATCTCTTACAGAATTATTTCTATGCCCAGAGATAAGTGCTTGCACAAATATTTCACTGAAATGGGACAAGCACCCAGTGTCTTGCGTAGCCATGAAAACCTGCTAAGATAAACTCTTGAGTTCCTCTTCTTCATGGTAGGACAGGGACCTTACTCTGTGGGAAGCAGTGCCACAGCCCACATTTCTGTAGATGACCTGTTATTCCAAGGCTACAGAGCTCCAGATAGTTTTGTGAGTCCATTTTATGAAGTCAGTATTCATTTTGCTTTCTTGAAAACATTAGATAAAATGTGTGTTTCCTGAAGGTGATGCAGTGGGAAGCTGGTAGAAGGAAATCACCACTTTGAAAGCCCAGAGTTTGGAATTCCCTGCAAACTTTCATTTCAAAATAAATTAAGTATTTTCAGATTAGTATGAACATAATTGTTAATTTGGTATAGTTTTTGTATAATGAGGTAGAGTATACAAGTGGCAGAGACAATCAGTCTGTGTTCTCTCCACCTCAGAAGCCTACTTTTATTATACTGGGCACTTGGTCCTGCAGTATTTACTGTGGCAGCCTAAGCTAGACATACGGCTGCTGTTTATTTGAGATCTTTTTTATTAGCAGATACACATTTCATCAACGTCTTTTATGTGTACAGTGGTCATGGAGTCCCAGGAAGTCTGCCTTTAATCGCTCTTGCAAAAATCCTACCACTTCTTTCCCTCAGACAGCTGCCGTTCAACTTAAATAACCTTGGTAATTATAATGTCGATACAATGATGTTCCTGGTGCATTTTTTTTGCCTCGCAGTGCTTGGGTTAGGAGTAAGCATTGTAGTGACCTGAAAGATGGGCATTAATAGCACAGGATCAGTATGGTCTGATCTGACTGGAAGCGACTTTTTCCTCACTGCATGTGTGAGCTATTTGGGAGGGGAAGAGTGTAAAATAAAGTAATTATATTTGAGCTTCAGAAAGGGAGGCTTCCAGTCGTGTACATGTGCTGGGTATCTCCAGCTTCTGGGTCAGTGGTCCAGTCTCCAGCTGGGGCTCACTCAACCTTAACTTAAGTCTAAATGAGTGCAGCAGTACACCGTAAAAAAATCCCTATGCTAAACAATGAGCTGGCCACCTGCCCACATGTTTCTTCCTTTTAAAAAATGCTACCCCCCTAAAGACTTCCTTTCTCTCCAACATGTTGTGAAAACTGGGGTCAGATTGATGGCCTCACCATGGCTGGGAGCGGGTGAGGATAATCAGCAAAGATTTAGTCCAAGTTCTTCCCATCGGTCTTTAATTTCACTGTAGTGTGAGGCCAGGCAAAATGAGTCTTTAGGATAAATTTGCAGGGTAGAAGTGAGGTAGAAATCTGTTTCCCTCCTCTCTGAAATAACGTAAAGTACTATGATAATAACTCTGCTATCGGCAGCTGAATGAAAGGCTTGCAATTACAGCACAAGAAGACCCTGACTGTGCAGAATAAAACTGTGATAATTACTTCTGTCATATTTGTACTTAGTCCTCATTAAATTTCAGGAAAATCATCCAGTAGTAAATAATGTGCAATCTTTGCTTTTAAATCAGAGGTCATGAAAGTAAATGGGAATTCTGTTTTTCCTCATAGGGTGTCTGAAAGAGAAAAAAATCCCATCAACTACATTTAAAAACTCAGTTTGCTTATTATTGAAGACACCAGACTGAGGAATGTCATTAGCATGACAGTTTGTTCAAACACAGCATACAAATTTCATCACCAAGAATAGACTCTGAAATTCATAATGGCATTCACAACCAGATTTACTTCTTTCATTCCATTAGGGGTTTTAAAGGAAGGATTTAAAAATTGGTTTAAATTTTAATTCAAACAGGAAGATGAGGACTAGTCTACCTCTTTAATTTGAATGCTGAGATGAATTTGATTACAAAGTTCATCTGCATTTGCTGAATATGCTTTCTTTTACAAAAACAAATATACTTTTTTACTTTTAGAGTCTGTCTATACTCTGTTAGATAAATATATGAATCAAAGGTTGTTGTTTTGGTTTTTTTCATTAGAATCACATTAAATCTGGAAACTACACAGTACCTTGAATCCATATGTATTTTTAAGGTGGTAATTACAGTTAAGCTTTATTTCTGTCGTATTTGGTCTACACTGGATCACATTCTGTTCACATGCGATTTAGGAATATTTCATCTGGACTCAGAGGATTTAGATCAAGGTAAATACGGTGTGACTGAGACCACATCTCTCTCAACATCTTTCTGTGTGGAAACTAAGAATCTGACAAACTGGGAGGGAAGGTAAAGGGCAGGAATGAATTGGTGTGTCTTTTACCTGAGATTTCAAAATGGTCATTGATGCCTATTGACACTTTTACTTCAGTTTACAGTTTAGAAGACTATTTAACAAGAATCTACATGTACCACTCTTTAGTTGAAACACAATAAATTTGAGGATTTACACCCAGAATGTATTGATTTTTCTATATTTCATCAGCATTACAGTGAAATCATGCAGCAGCATGATGTCTACCTGGACACTCAACAAAATTCAGTTCTTCAGGAAATCCTTGCAAAATCCTAGGATAAAAAAACTGGATTGTAGAACCCTTGAAGCAGAAATCAAAGGAGTAGCTTTTATTCTCTAATAAAGCAACGGTGGGATTTTTGTCTGATACTAATTTCACAAAGGTGCAACTAATTGTGATACTGTGTTCTTTATGTATTTTCCTACTTTAAGGTACTGTAAGTCAGCTTATATTATGAAGCCCTATAGAAAAACACAACCGGTGCCAGTAAAGTCTTCTGAAGTTTTTCTTTTACAACAAAAAATCTGAATGCTCCTCCTTTTTGTTTCCATTTGCTTTTGATATTGGTAGTGACTGAATCACTACAGTCAATTGCATGGTCAGTTATAGTAAACCTTGATCCCTTTCTTTCTGTAATACAAAATCATGGAAAAATAGATTGAAACATTATCACCAGACTTGCCTTTGTTGTACTGCAGCAGAAAATGAGAATTCCACCATAGTAGAATAGTGGTAATAATTGCAGCTTTTTCTTTCCAAAAATGGCTGTTTGATCCAGTTCTGATGTAATCCTTGTGAACTTTGTGCTTTGACAGAGGGGAAAAATCTTGTTCTTTTTGAGCAATAACTATTAGGGTGATTTTTGAAGGTTGTCTTGATGTAAAATGTTAACAAACAGTCAGTTTTTTGTTTTAATACTTGATAATATGGAGCCTGCTGTTATCTGTTCTTCTCTGAAGAATAAATTTTGTTTTGTGAAGTGAGAAATCTGAGGGATCCTTAAAAGAAGATAATGACTACTGACATAGAAAAAAGCCTTTTACTTGATACTTGATTAGTTAGTTTAAAACCCATTACTGACTTTATTTCTTTATTCAAACTTTTCTTAACTTTGATAGATTAAGATGCCCTTAGTGTTCTTGGTGACCTTGAGAGAATAAAAAGGAACATAACAAAAACATTCAATAATCATTCCTTGCAGTCACCTACTCACATTCAATTAAATGTGACCAGAATAGTGATTTTCCCCACTTTTCTTGAAATACTGGCCTTTAAAACAGTACGTATGATAGAAAATTGATGAAACCAAGAATTTCTTTTAATTAGTTTAATCTTTGCTCTTATTTTTGTTCAGCTAAAGATCATTTAATAGTGTGATAGGGCTTTCTGCCATCTTCTATTTGCTTCAAGCAAGAAGAGTTTCTGCTCATAATTGTTTTCTGTGCAACACAATGTGCTTGGAATGTAATAATTGTAATTGTCTTTTGAATTATTGTAAAACTGCTGATACACTTCACTACTCTGTGCTTATTGTAATGTTTGCCACGTTCCAGCAGCACCTTTGTGACAGAAGTTGATTAATGCTGAAATGCCAAGATTGGCCTATTCTTGATTTATCAGCTGAATGTTAAGAAGTATTTCCTCCCATGACAGCACTATTTGAATCATCCTGGATTTCTTCTGCCTTTGTTTTCTGGCATGTCTACATATAAAAGAACTTAGTTGAAGAAGAAATTCAAAATAAGTGATTATTTTTTATAAAGTTTGGTGTCGTCACTGTCGGTTACATTTCTAAGTCTGGCTCTCGCCTGTTAGTCAAGTGACATAATTTTCAAGTGGATGCAGCCTACAACATTTTCCAGTGGGAGCAGCAAGTCCTCCACAATGGAGGTTCAATTTTTCTAAGTTAAGATTTTTAGTTCCAGCATAGGAAAACATTTAAGCACATGATTAAATCCTATAGATATCTCTGGGTTTCAAAACAAAACAATAACAGAAACAATTTCTTCTGTAATTGAGCAAAAATATAGTTGAAACTTGACTTTGAACTAAACACATCTGAAAACAGCAGCAAATGTGATTAAGCAATGTCTCAATTAAAAAAAAAACAACCACAAAAAACACAACAACAAAAACACCAAAACAGTTGCCCATTTTGAAATTGTTCCTAAGGTTTTTTCACTAATACTGCTTCTGAAGAAAGCTAGTGTTTCCCTCATCTCAAAATACCCACAGTAGTAAATGTCTTGCTATCAGAATTGCTTTTGTCAAAAGGCAAAGAAAGCAAGCTTGAAATTTGTTGTGAGCAATTGCTTGTTGTGAAGAGTTATTTGCTGATAAGAGAAGCATCTCAGTGAAGCTCAGAATAAAATGACGGTATTATAGACATCCTGGTCAAGGTTTTTTATGTCTATGGGTGGTGAATCACATTTTAGCTTTTATTATAAATGAATTCAGTAACTTCATTTTACCTGTGTTGTGTTGTCATGGTGAATTTTAATATTAAGTCCAGCTTAATTATACATCAGAAAATTAGAAGCATAGAAGTGTTCTCTTCCTTTTTGCAACATTCATCATATTGTTGTTCTGTTAGAATAAGTTACATCTGTTCTTTTATGGTTCTTCCCCCTTTTATGTTGCACATAATTATGAGGTGCCTTCTTTTATGCTGACATGTACCATCACTGAAAATTTTGATAGGCTTTGAATGAATTCAGTAGATGCCTGTTAATGCAAATGTGACTCACATTCATTCTTATTCAGATCTTTACTTATAGAACAGAATCATGTATTAAGACAAATTCCTCCTTCAGCTACATGGGTATAAATTAACTCTCGCCAACTTCAGTGTCACCAAGTCACACCCGCACATCTGAGAGCTGAACTGGGTCTCTTTATGTTCAAAGTTTTGTCTTGCTCAGTTCAGGGTTAGAATGAGTTTGTTTGGGTTTTAATCCTATCAGCAGATCTTCTTTTTCGGCAGAATGGGCCCTAAGGTTTAGAACCAAGAAAACCACCCATCAGTTCGAAAACATTCATTGTAACACACTAATCCTATTTACTCTTGATGGCTTTGTTTCTTAGATTCTTTATTTTTTCTGCTCAGTGAATTTTCTGCTCCTTGAATTAAATGTAATAATTAAGGTCTTTAAGTAGAACTTCCTCTATTGAGGCCAAATCCATTCATTTAGATAAATCAGCTAACCGGAAAAAGACAGAATCTGAATGTGTTCTCCATTTTTGCTGGTTTCCAGTTACATGTGCCCTTGACTGGCATGGTGGAAGTGGAGAACATATTTAGATGTGTGGAGCATTCTTAACACTCAGTGTAGAAAAATGTTTCAAATGGCTCTTAGGTTGCTATGAAACCATGAGTACTGATCTCAAATACCTTGGTCAACCACCATAAATGTTCTTATGCTCCATATTGAGGATATAGGATATTGCTTATCATGTGTGCTGATAGTCATCTGGTAGCATCAGTCTTTTGTGGGAAAAGTTCTCCTCTGAGCTTACAAATAGAACTGAATTTGTTTGCTTGCCAATAAAGGATGCAGTGACATGGCAGTCCTTCAGGAAGTCCCATGTTTCATCACTCATGTGCTTTCAGTCTCTAGCACAGCAAGGGATTTTCCTTTAAATAAACCCAGTCTGTGTTCTCTTTCCTTATTCCAGATGGACCATGACCCCCGAAACCCTGCATATATTGCCACCCAGGGCCCTCTTCCTGCTACTGTCGCTGACTTCTGGCAGGTAAGGTAAACAGCTCTTTGAAAACTGAATTTAAGTTACAAGTCAAATGTTTTCCTATGCTTCTAGAAACGTAAGGTGTATATAAATATGTTGTGTTTGAGCCACAATAGGTGGAAAAACCTGTGTTCAAATGTCTGTTTAAAATCTAGGGCAGTCAGGATGAGAAGCTGTGGTGATGCTGTAGATCTAGTACCCCACACTACATTAAAGCTCTTTGGCTCACTGCATTATTTTTCTGAAGGGAAACTGAGTGCCACAGCTTGCAAAATGGTTCTTTTTCAGAGAACTTAAAAGTAAATCAAAACAAACACCAAAATTATCTCCCCTGTGAGGAGTTTTGAGATCTAAGAAAAGCAAGAAAAGGTATTTGTCCCTTGAGCCATGGCCACCGTCCCTGGAGGTATTTAAAAGATGTGTAGATGTGGTGCTTGAGGACATAGTTTAGTGGTGGACTTTGAAGTGCTGGGTTAACAGTTGGACTTGATGATCTTAAAAAGAAAATAATCTTTTCCAACCTAAACGATTCAATGATTCTGTGATATTCAAGCCATTTATGTATATGACAAACCCTCTAAAGAATGCTTGATCTGGAATTTATATTGAAAGCCTCAGGCCAAAATATTCATATTTTAGTGCCAGGTCTCCATAATTAAATTACAGCCAAGGACTGGATGATTTTCAGAGGGCCTGACCTTCTTAAGAGTCTAGCCAGAAGTCATTGTCATTCTCCAGATCAAAAAGGACCTAACACTATGTGCAATGAATTTTTCCATTGAAACCTATTTCTCACAGGTCCCAGTTCCCCAAAATGCTTGAATTCTTATGTATTTTCCTTACCACAGGTAGACAACTTAAAGGCTGAGTTAAGATCCTGCCACATAAATTGAAGTAGGTGCATAACTGCAGGACTGGGTCTAAAGGCAGTAGTTAGTGATGCACAAATATGAGCTTACTTTGCATGCAGTATTTTTATGTGCTCGTGCAGCTCTAAGATTTAGACATACACACTCCACCAGGCTAGGTGTGTGCAACTGACAGATATGCTGCGTTCGATATTCCTTTGTAAGTGTATAAGTGTGCCTGAAAGCTTACCAAGGCTGTTTGGGGAGGAGGCCAACTGAGGCTTATTATCAACACAAACATATGTTTTTATCTTTTGTTTTGTATTATGAATTCTGAAACATTTGTTCTGAAGATAAAGAGCGTCTATGTACAAATTTCAAAGTGCTATTGTGTTCTAGGAGCTTGCATCAGTTGAAATCATCAACTCTCTCCATCTGCACCGCTTGGTCTATGATTAGAAAGTGTTAACTGATCCTTATTGAAGATGTTTTTCATGTCACAATTTCCTACTATTTCTGATGAGGAATCAGGACATTTTCAAGCTTGATTGTGGGTTCCTGGATATTTAAATGCTCAGTCTGAGGTATTTTGGGACTGCTTCTTAAAAGTGCAGAGCAAATGGTTTCTTCTTGAAGTGAGTTGAGTTGTTGGTCTGACTTAAATTTTCAAGTAACTTGTGGGGTTTTTCTTCATTATTTGGTAATTAGACATACCTGAGAACAACGATTTATTTTTTATTTTTTTGCTTGGCAGGTGAATTCCTTATAACAAGCATGATACATGACAATGTGTTTCTTAAATTAAACATGTGAAAATCCAATACCGTGTTAGCTGTTGTGTAATGATATGTTACAATTCCTAAGGCCCAGGATTTTAAGTGTATATTTTTGCATATTTGTATATTTATATGTTGTTTATTTGCATGTGCAGCTGCACCTCTACATGTTAAAAAATATATATTCTCATTTTTTAGAGTCATTTAAAAAACCACACTTTGTATAAGCTTTTTTTGCTAATGCAGAAATCGGAATTAATCATGCAAACAGAGTATGAAGGATATATTTTGTTCTTCTCCCATTCCAGTCTGAACAGTTAAACAAACTGTTTGTACAGACACAGAGAGTAGAACTGAAATGTTATTTCTGTGATCCAATCAAATTCCTTCCGAATATCCTTTGGTAATCAAAAGGTCTCTTTCTTGACTTTCTGTCTTCATGCTGTTTGTGAGTATGGAGTCTTCACTCTGCTTCACTTTCCTTCTGCTCTTTTTAGTGATTTCTCCTCCCGGTTATCCAGCAGTGAAAGCTCATTCCATCTCCCCACCAGATCTGATGTAAACATCTCCTCAGAAGCCATTTATTTGGCAGCCATGGTTCAGCAATTGCTCAAGTGAGGCTATGTGTCCATTTTTGATGTGATATTCTTTTATTGTTTCTTCTGTCAGGTTCCATAGAAAAGTTTGTTTCTTACATTTGTTTTTGTGATGTCTCTCGCTTCAATCTACCTATATTAGATTAGTCTGTTACCCACTTTTCTTAAACTTAAACTTCCTGCAGATCACACATCAATGTGCTGGTTACTGTCCCAAGCTTTTTACGTGGCCTTATGGTACCAACCAAGTGTAATAAACAGGCCAAGAGAGATTAACTCCTTACAGAAGTCTGCATCCATTACCACTGACCTGCAGTAGGTCCATTGTACAAGTCGAAAGCCATGGCTTAAAATTGTTGTGGTTTACACCCAGATGTAGGAGCAAAATTTCTGTTACTTTTTCACCAAACTGTACCTATCTTAAGGTAAAGCATGGGCAACCTGCGCTTGCTGTGGAAAATAGAGTATTAACTCCTGTCAGGGCAGAATCCTTTGATGTTTACTTGAGTACATTTTTTGTGTGTCATTTATACAGAACATGGTGCTGCCACCAGGGATTGTTTAACGATTCAGTTATTTATTCCTGATACATCTTCTCGGTGGTTCTCCTCCCTCTCCCTCCTCCACTTAATACCAGCTGTTGCTTTTCTCCCTTTTTGTGTGCTCAGTGAAGCAGTTTTCTGACTGATAGTGAGAAAAGTGACAGACTCCAGAGATACCTAGGACTGTTCAGCTGTTCCTTGCCTAAATGCACAATGTCATGCTTTAGCAAGTCTAACAGAAACTCTTGGAGCTTGGCATCACCTTCTATGGCAATATTTAGTAGATATATTGCTTTCTACTTTTTCCTGAGTCTTAGCTGCTAAGATTCCCAAAAGTGTAGTTGCATGGTGGGTACCAGCCACTCCATTTTATGTTGGAGTTGCTGAAGCCCCAGGCTACCGCAGTAAGAAACTGTTATAATTGTTTCCACTCCTGTAGACATTTCAAGCTGATTTCTAGAAAACACTTGTCTAAAAAGCAAGCTTATTACTTGAAGGTATAAGACAGCTTTCTTGCCATTTACACAATAAATACGCATAATGAAATCCAGATATGCATAATGAAATCCAGACTGCACCTGATTTGTCCTGTCTAGATTTCATGTTCAAATTCCAGAAATACAAATTCTAAACCTATTTTCCTTTAGACTTGCATTAAATTCTTCCACCAATCAGTGACTATGTCTACATTAGCAAGCAGCATAGCCCACTAGGATTGGAGTTGTAGAGAGTCACAGTACTTACTTTGTAGGTTTCACTTTAGACCAACTGTTCAGTGGTCTAGTGGATCAAATGCCTGTTGCCAGGGGAGAAAGCTACAAATATATTTGGAGGAAGCTTCTTCCAAAAGGAACTTAGAGCTCTAAAACTGCTCTGCAGTGCCTGCTTCTCTTCATCTCTGTCATCTATGGGACCATGTGGTCACTTCCGTTATCTCTATTTAAGACCAAACAGATGATGTAGTTTAGAATAATCTTTATTTCTATTCTTATTGGCAAGCCTCTCTAAAACCTGTTATGTTAATCCAGTGCCCAGTACTTTTGTGCAAGTGACACTTAGTAGACACTTAGCAATCAAATTCCCATTTACCATTTTCAAGTTGCTCAGATCTGTACAAAGATCATGGTTAGGTCAGGGTCTTCTCTTTCCCAAAATGGACAAAACTTTTTCTTAAAACATGGATGATGCTTTTTCCAGGCTTCTCTTGTTATTAATTTTTAAAATCATTCATACTAGTGATGAGCAGATTCATGCCTAGTACCACTATGGAACTAGAAGGGGACCAGTTTCAATCATCTCACAAGTGACCACTTCTTGAAAGATTATGTCTTTTTTTGATAAGGTGAGGAAGAAGAACAGGTTTTGCTCTTGAATACCATCTAATTTGGGCACTAGAGCTGGCCATTGGACTCAGCATTTTCCGTACACCTTTCTATTTATTTGGGTTTTCATGTTGACCTGAGAGAGATCAGCTTGATGGAAGTTTTTCTTTCAAAGATGCAGTCTTTGAGCTGGAGATAGTCCAAACTCCTGTATATTGGGCATTTTCAAATCTTGCTCAATTTTGTATATTTTGGAAGAATTATGGTGGTAAAAAAGGCAAGAGACTTACTCTGTTTTTTCTAATGGTGCATCTAGGCATCAGACTTCCAGAGCTGTGTCCCTCCAGTTTATTTCTCCAGCTCCTTCTATTCTTGGCACAGCTTCTCTAAGTCAGCAAGTGCCAAGTTAGTTCCAACTTCCCTGGCTTACCTATTTCTTTGAAAACTTTCTAGCCTGCAGGAGTTGTGTTGTCAGTCATCTCATTGATCTATTTTGCCACAGGGTTTCCTAATCTGTTTGGATACTCTATCTTTGCGGCTCAAGCAGAGATTTCATCTCTGCCTGCATGTCATCTCTTAGACTGCTCTGGAAATTTTCCAGCTACTACCTTAATTAATTTTTAGAAGCTTCCAACTGATTTAAGTCTTCCTTTAATTTCATCTAGTCTTGTTTTCATCTCTTTTTACCAATTACTACTTCCGAGAGATACCTCCTTCATTGATTCTATTTTGGTTCAGTGGGAATTCCACCTTATAATTCCCTTTCTTGAAAACTGGATGCCTCTTCTCACATGGTATTAATCCATTTTTACCTGAGTAGCTAAACAATTTGCCAGGTCTGTGGGTTGTTTTCTTCTCAGCTGGAAACAGAATTCGTCCTCAGGATAGGGTTTTGCTTTGTTATAGTTCCATTTTATTTACA